AGTTTTAAAATAACTATTTTAACTGTTATCTAATAGATAAATAATGATAAAATGAGATATGCATAATCTTTGGATCATCAAAGAATGACAAATTGCATTTAAATTATTTTAGTTTGCTTTGTTAATTGTGCAAAATTAATGATATATGGGAGATGTCAAAGGATCGGCTGTTTTAAGTATTAACTGCTCGTAGTATAACACTTCCACAGTCTTGTATTGTTATGTATCAAAGTGTTTGTATCTTTTTACAAAAAGTGAAAGACCTTGATTTTTTTTTAATATTGATTATAACAATTTACATTATTTCATTTATGAAGTAAACTAATTATCCTTATAACTAATAATGTTTGTGGACACAAATGTACATTACTGGTCGATTTTTTTAGCCCTGGAAATTAAAATTTTAAAATTTATGATGCAAATATAATTTGAGAAATAATTTGTATTGGTTATTAATAAATGATTATTTATACATAGATGACATTAAACATTAACAATTTATATATTATGACCATAGGCGCGAATAGGGAAAACTTATTAGGAGGTATTAGCACCCCCAAATAATGATCGTGCTTATGTATCAAAAACTTCTTCTTTCAAAAAAAATAAAAAAAWATACTTAAATATAAAATGCAAAGCGTAAGCACCCGTAGTTTTTTTTATTGAAATTGCGCCTATGATTAGCCCTTAACTACTCGAAGAATAAATAAAATATATATCTTAGTTTTAAGTTTTGTATTTTTATGCAGATAATTTTAAGTGTTTGTACATTTATAATGATGAAAAATATCCAAGTTTAATAATTAATATTAAAGTTTTATGTACAATCTTGTTTATTATTTCAATATGTTTAATTTATAATTATCATAATTAAAATATATTTTTCTATCTTTAGATAACACTGAGCCACCTACCAATGAAACCATTGACACATTTATGGTTAATTTAGTCACACTTCTATCAACTGATACTGCTACTGAACCTTCCTGGATTGCAAATATAAAACAGGTTATTTCTAATTTAGATTTTTCACAATGTTAAAAAAAAA